CTTCTATCAATCGAAAAGAGACTGCGACCACACCAGAGGCCACAACATCTTGGTCTTCATATATTCAATATAATATCTTGTTTTTTAAAACCCTTAGCCTTGCATGGCGCATTAAAGACATTAAAGTAATCTGGTCACCCTTGACGCTTAAGGTGATTTAAGGACTGATATCTCCGTTTTTGTTCAAATGAGATAATTACGCTTTACGATGCCATTAAATTTCTGCTAGCCTTGTCTTCCAAAAGGTTCTTTCATCCCGGCTGGACTGAAGTTTTGGCCCCCTCCTAGGTCTCATTGTCATCCACAACGGGATTCGTTAACAGGTCGTGAGCATCGTGGTGATGCTTCTTCTCCACCTTACAGTCTAGGCGAAGTTAAAGCTGCAGTCCACTCTATCCGGAATAGGATAGTCTTTGGGGGAAAATGGCTAAGGGAAATGAAAGGGCATAGGGAAATCATTCATCTCATTGAGATGATTAATTTCTTATAAATAATTTATTGATAGTTTTGTGAAGTGCTCACATTGAATGTAAATCTATACAATTAAGCCAAGATTTTAGTCCATTTTTGCATTTCTATATTTTAGTTTGTCCCTGATTTTTCCATCCCTTAGCCGGAGGACGATCCAGATTACATTGACCTTGGTGGTGCGATCCTTACTTTCTACTCGGTACTCGTTGACCTGCTCGGTCGGTGCGCGCCCGATATGGAGACAACGAAGAGCGAATCCGTGCGAGCCAGATCCATCCTCCAGTCCCTGGTCAGTATGGCCGATCTCGAGGGCGTGCTGTCGCTTCGTTTCCTTTTGCCACCTCCCAAGCTTGAAGTACAGGCAAGTTCAGCCCAAAATAATGCTCACTCGCTATTTTTAATGACGGCCCCCGGTTACTTGACCGGCGATTCTTTTGTATAATTATGCTGAATTGTTTATAGTCGAAAGCCATGAGGACGAGGGATTAAAGTTGTTTATGGAAAATTGTAGCTTTTCTGAGCTGAAAGAGAGCTGAATACAAAAGCATTTGAGTTAGTCGGATGAGTGTTGTTTAGTATTTTGATAATATGCACATTGTGTAACTTAATAATCTTTCTTTTCATCATGAGTCCTGGCATCTCTGACATTCATTGACTATGGTAGCTTATTTTGTTACGCTTTTCTTTTTCTCTGCCCCTTTTCGATCATCCAATCTTTGGACTCACTATTTGGCGACCAGTTAGATGCTGCTATTATTTTTATGCTTATTCTTGGTTTATGTCACGGCCAATGCAGATTATTCCTGAATTTTAGAGTACATAAGTCATTTCTTTTCATTTGAATCTCGATGATAATGTGGCTTGAGTTAATGAAGAAATATTGAACTTCCTTTATACTTTTTTAACACCACGAATTCAGTCCAATATAAGATCCTACACTGATACAAAATGGCGTATTCGTTTTCCATATATTTAGTAATGGTCTGTGGTTTAGAAACT